ATAAGTCTGTTTTCTAAGATTGTGATTTATTAACGAAAGACCATCTTGTGTAGTGAGTGATCATCTTCTTGCTGACGGTCAAGAAAAGAAGAAAAAGATCGCTTTAAACATTGACACGAAGATGTTGAAGATTGGATTCGTAGGAGGCGGCAAAATGGCTCAGGCTTTAGCCAGAGGTTTCATCCGAGCTGGTAAGAAAAACTATTTACTTACATAATGAATTATATTCAATATGTATTCAAATATTTTTGTATAAGATTGTATAAGATTTATTTTTAACATCTATTTTGCATAAGACTTGTATAAGATTTATTTTTAACATCTAGGATTGAGCAAAGGTGAAATGATGCTGGCTAGTTGCCTTCCAAACGACGTGGGTAGTATAGATGCATTTAAGGTAAAAATAATAATTTTTTATCGTGTCAGATAAATAATTTTCGTTATCATTACATATGTAGATAGCAGTGATAAAAATATCCGATTACTAGCTTTATCAGTTTGAAGGATTTACTTCGAAGCAACATAAAAACAACAAATATGTTTTGTTTGCTTGACAAATAAAATAAAAAAGATACTTAAGGCACAATGTTATAATGATAATTTCTTAAAATATCAGATTCATTTTAAGTTATCGATAATTCCTACACAATTGATTATCAAGATTGGAATTATAAATGAAATTATAAGATTAAATTATAATTGCATTCAATGGAGTTAATAGACGATCGTTTTCTCATTAATGGCAGCTTCAATCTGCAATTCAAAGATAATTTACCTCAATATTTAATAGTTTTTTAATTATTAAATTATATTAAAAAGTAAACAAAATTTTAAGTTCTAACACTAATACAGTGATTTGGAAAATTTCCAATACCGTATTGTCTTATCTTCGCTTCGCGATAATTTCATAAATTATATTTTAACTATAAAATTTGCTTTGAAAATATAATTTACTTCGAATCCTTCATGTTTATCGATGATATTAAATTTATTGATATTTATTGATATTGGTCATTATATTAAATGTCATTAATGCTTGATTAATTTGCAATTCCAGGAAATAGGCTCAAATACTGTATTTTCCAACGCACCTGTAGTTGATTATGGTGACGTTTTGATTTTATCAGTGAAACCACAAGTGGTTCCGATGGTTCTTCCAGATTTAAAAAATTATAAAAAACTTTTGCTTTCTATTGCTATGGGTATTCCATTAGCCTCGTTAGAAAAGGTAAAGTTTAATTTATTATTAAATTTTAAATATTAATCACAGTTTAATAAAAGTTAGTTTCAATTTTTTATTTAATTTTTCTTTTTGTAATTTGTTTCATCTTCATTTTTATCATTTAAAAATTTTTAATTTGCAAGTTTAATTTCAATGTTAGGCTTTACCAGAAGGAACACCGGTAATTAGGGTAATGCCCAATACCCCAGCTCTTGTGGGTTGTGGTGCAACGGTATATGCCCGTGGAAAACATGCTGGCGACAAAGAAGCTGAAATAGCAGAGAAATTATTTTCCTCTGTGGGTTTATGCGAAGAAGTGTCTGAAAATTTAATTGACCCTGTTACAGCTTTAGCAGGATCAGGTCCTGCATATGTATGTAACAAAATCTCGATATATTTTCAAAAATCTTTGTATGTTAATGTTTTTTTATTTAAAAAAATGTATATTTTTTTTTATTAATGTAGGTATATATGATGATAGAAGCTTTAGCCGATGGAGGTGTCAAAATGGGTCTTATGAGACCAATTGCGTATAAATTAGCTGCACAAACAGTCCTTGGCGCTGGTACTATGGTTCGAGATACGAATACACATCCAGGACAACTTAAAGATGACGTAGCATCGCCAGCAGGTTTGAAAAATTATACTTGTTTTTTCATTTTGTGCAATTATCTATATTACATAATTATCACTTTACTTAGGATCTACGATAACTGGAATACATTATCTAGAAGATCACGGATTGAGGTCAGCTATAATAGGAGCAGTTGAAGCAGCAACTAAGCGATGCAAAGAAGTTAGTTCACTTTCAGAGAAAAATTAAATTGATTGAAATAAAATTTACGTGGTAATAGTTAAAAAAAAAAAAGAAAAATGAGGAAAATGGAAAAGCATGATGTAATTGTTAATATCGTAGAAAAGAAAGAAAACCATAGTAATACTATGCTGTAAAATTGTTATGTTTTATAAGAAATATGTAATGTAATTTTTTGAAGAATATTTTGTATATTTTGTACATAATTCTTTTAAACTGGTAAATGTTAAAATTATTGTTGTACCTTTAAAGTAGATCTGTTATTTTTTCATGGTAGTATCTTTTATAATGTAGAAATATATATAAATGTGTGACAACATTTTTATGTTTATATTTTTAACGTAAATGTTCTTTACTCGATTTAAATTTCTTCGTAACAAATTTTTTATGAAGATAAAAAGTATAATACAAAATATAATTTTTATACTACGATATATGTAAATAAATCATTTTATTCCATTATTAAAAAAAAAAAACCATAGTAGCTATACCTAATCTGGATATTTCTTTTCTATATAATCTGTTGAAATGAATATTAATATGTTCTTGTATTCTGTCCTTAAAGTTTTTCACTGCAATGCATTTAAAACGAAATAATTCTTGCTAATACTATTCTGTATGGTTTCTTTCTTTTAAATTTAATTTGATTTACCTTCAGCTCTAATACATTATTTAATGTATAATAATTCGTTAGTCGAGCAATATAATTCCTTACTTATTTTTTTAAAATATTTACTTTAGGATGTTTTGTACATATTAAAAGTATTATATATTTTTTTTACAATCTTTCATTTGATTTGAATTCTGTTTCATGTTATAAAATAGACACTATTTCACTTATATATATACATATATTAAGTTGTAAAGTTACGAAATGGTAATGAATTAGCATTTATTAGCTACTAAACTTACTGACGTAACGTAACTAACGTAAATTATGCATAATTATACATAAACCTGTTCATTTCATTCATATTCATTTCCATTGCATACCTTATACAAAGATAAAAAAGAAAAAAATATTTTTACACTTAGTATTTTATACAAATATGTTTTGTTATGTTACATTTGCTATTTTAAAGTTATTCAGAAAAATGACATTGATGATGATGAACACGTTATGTATATAAGTAATATAAATTAAAATAGAGAAAAATTACTTGAATCAAGAATTATATAAATTAAATTCGTTATATTGAAACAAATATACAAAAACTAAAATTATGTGCGTGTTATTTAAAATAATATTTGTAAAATATAAGTATTAATAATAAACAATTTAAAATAATATCTGTAAAATATAGTATTAATAATAAACAAAATACCATAATAATAAATGTTGATTTTAAAATTAATTATTTAAGGAAAAGGGTTGATCAAAACACAATCTAAATATCATTTGAAATTTTTTAATTTTAAATTTTCGATTAAAATATTAAAATCACAATTGGGCTAAAGAGTGTTTTAGTCACTCTTCAACAGTTTGAATTCGGCCATTGTGTTTTTCGGTCACGCGATCCCGCGTTCTTTCCATATATCTTGGAAAAATGGTACGTAAAATATTACATAAACTCTCTGTTGAAAATAAGTTTCTAAAAACTTTTAAACTTCAGACTTTATAACTTGTCAATTAATTTTTATTTGGTATTCACGTATATATATTTTGAATTGGAAATTCTAAGATTTTCGTTCAAGACTACACATTTTTTTCGCTCATGATTTCACATTCAGATGAAGTAATAAAACTCTTGCGTTATATCATATACGGTATGATTTTATCCTTCTCAAGTGTAAAATTCGATTTCCAATAACATTTTGCTAATTTCCAGTAATTAACAATATAATCAAAGTTTAATAACCTAGTAGTGTTATTTTAATAAAGGACTAAATTAATTTGATGTTTCTAAAATACAAAATTCCATTTTTACTGTATTAAATCATATGATGCTTATTTCTCAGTTTCATCAATTTCCATTTCTAATAATTAATAATTAGTAATGTCCGAATTTAACGAACGATGAGAGATATTTCGAACATTCGGCAGTTGATCACTTTTGGCGCGACGATTGAAAAGTATTCAAATTTGAAATTCTTCAGGAGCCGTGCAGATGGCAGCACGCGACGCAGTTAGACGCGCGTTTGACAATCGAGAAAATTTCGTTCGGATACGTTCGACAAGTGGCGTTCGGTATTAAAAGTGCGATGTGTGGTACGTGTAAACAAAAGTGTATTGAAGTTCTGCGAAATGTTTGGCAAACCTGACGCCAGCCTGTGATAAATGTTAACTTCGTCAAACGTTTTTACGGACGTTGGTGTCGAGGAGTATTTTGGTTACCATCCGGTCGACAACGCATTCCAACGTGCATTGTGGGTGAGTGTTTTTTAGGTTACCCATCGATTTGCGAATGACGGATTTTATTCATTTTAACCGTGTGTATTGTCTGTATTACTTCATGTCGTCCCAAAAGCTATTTCATTCCCTCGGTTCTCAGTCAGAAATTATTCTCTAACTTTGTCTGCCATTTACTTTTTAATTGTCACTTGACATTATTGTATACATGCGGCACTGATGAACCTTGAGTGAAGAACAAGTGTATAAATGCTTTATTTTGTCTGTAATATCGGTGATATTATCGATGTTTACTTCCTCTTTTAATAAACTCTATTTACACGAATTATATTTACGTATATGCAATGTTATCTCTTATCAAAATCATTCAAGGTTAAACACACTTAACGTAGTTTCATAATTGTACATTATAATAACTATTATAATTGTTTTTCAACTTGTACTTGATTTTTAAAATGCGAGAAATTCATATATGTGTATATGTTCAGGAAAAAGGTAATAATTATTATATGTGTATATTATATATACATATATTATGGCCAGTACTTAACCTCGAAATATATACCATAGTAAGTTGTACCTTATTTACGTTAAAACACATCATTTTTGTAATTCCTTCGATAGCTCAGTTGGTAGAGCGGTGGACTGTAGTCGGTTGTTTCCCAGAGAAATCCATAGGTCGCTGGTTCGAATCCGGCTCGAAGGAGAAAATATTTTTTTTAATTTCCTAAATCGTAATTCTCATTTTGCCCCTCTCTGTTTTCTTTTTTCTATACTTTTTACTAATTTTATATTACAAATAATAACATAATTTATTTAATAACGCAACGTTAAATATTGGGAAAAACAAACATACAATTCATACGCCCGTGATGTTCGACGAATTCACATCTGTATTCTTTGGACGCGATGTTCGTACATATTTGTTAACTGACATAGAGGCGTAACCACCATAATTGTTCCGTTTCGTGGGCCAAATACTTGCTGCCCTCTGGAAGTGCAGCTGCATAACATGCTGCACCGTGCGCGTATTTGGTGATAATGCAGTTTGCACTTTTTATCGCGAAACGGAACGTAATTCATTTTTAAATCGAACAACTGTGTAATTTCATAATTTCAGTTGGAATATCCAGAACTTGCGTAAATCGATCCAATACTTAACTTTCAAATACTTAACTTTGAATGTCAAACGATACTCGGATACTACGATTACGAATAATCGCGAAAGATTCAGATTCGAACTGCAGTCAATAGTCGTTGTTTAATTCAACAGGCAGACGTTAATAAAAAATGCGCAGTCGGTCGAGAAGGAAAAAGGGTTTAATCTGCGTGACTGATCGAGCGGATCACTCGCGAGACGCGACACTGATACACCACCAACGTTGCTGCGTTCACGTTAATTTATCGCCGATCCGCTCTAATCGTCCTTGGTAATTTATTACTACTCTGTTCATATTTATTGGAAGGGTGGCCGGTATGTATTGTGCGCGCGAAATTGCTTATATTGTTGTCTGCTCGTGGGATCGCGATAAATTATTCGCGCACGCGAAGATGTGATACCTGACGCGTCCCCGATAGATCACAATTGTGGACGAACGTGATTTGATATGGTACTTTATTCCCCTGTACCACGCGTGTTCTCTCTCTCTCTCTCTCTCTCTCTCCCTCTCCCTCTCGTGTATCGATCACCAAAATTCTCTCTGTACTGAAGAATCGTCGAACGCTGTGACGATTTGGAAATCAGATCTGGTTTTCGATGGCGAGCGAGTTCTTCCTGAATTGGAGTTTTTATGTTTCTATTGGCAATTGGCAGAGAGTGATTTGTTCGTCATACTCTCGATTGGAAAATCTCGCGCGATCTCATGTACGACTTTGAAGTCGGTAAAGTTAGCTATTTAAGTTGTTTGCTTTCCTCGGAGACTCAAAGCATCTCTCGTCGTGTGTGGCACGCTTAACATCCAAAACTCGGTCGTTCGCCACAAATATTTGTACCAAAATTCCGCTGATTCTGATTAAATATTTATTCGCTTCGTAACGTGTGTACCGTAACATTGCTCCAGGCACAGTACAGGTGCGATAATAATCTTTTACGGCTGTACATAAATAGTCGTAAACGAGTTATTTCGATTGCTCTTTGAACGAGGAATAATGTAATTCGCATACCACACACGGACGTGCAGGCGCACGTGGCGATATTTACGCGGCGATAAACTTTGCCTTGTTACTCGCACAAAGACAATTATCAAATCGTTTTGGAACGAGTCGGTCGGTTCGTTCGGTCAAATATTTGCTGCCGGAATTTCGACGTTGGCCAATCTGCCAACCATCCATGGCAGCCTAGCTCTTCGTTGTACGAACAACGACAATAGCTTGGTTTTACGCTCGGTTTCGCGGCGGAGTGATCGACGAGCATTGCGCGATTTTCACTCGTAAGCTAAGAATCTTTAAGCTCTTAAAGTCCTTGGTAAAATTGTTCGACGACCGATTAAACTTACTTTCTTCAGAGTACGAAAGAAATACCGATTTGATAAGGTGTGCGGAATGATGACGAATGTTTGAGATCGTTCCAAGGTATTAATTTGTCACTTTGCATTCGCGCCGAATGCTCGCAAATATTTATGTAAGTCGATAGATCAATATAAATATTTATATCACTTATCTAATCTACTAGTTTCTGTTTGACGGAGATACTTGGTACATATCGCAGTCCAAACATTTGCAAACATTTGCAAACCTGCGCGCGGTACACGACTTTAAAAGTCTAAACTTGGTATAATGTAAATTTAATTAAGTAAAGTGAATTTCTCAATTTTTTCGTTGTTAAATTGTTAAATTTAATTTAACAATTAGCAAGGTGAATTTTTTAATTTTGGTTGTGTACTAACATCTTTTAACAGACTGCGTGGGTATCCGCGAAACTTTCAAAATACGAAAAGTTCCTTTTCAACACCTCGATCGATTCGGAGAACGATAATGGCAAATGAATTCTCGATGAAACTCGCGACGCGTTTTCTTTTGAATTATTAATTATTCGCCCGTTTAAATGTGATTCATGCGAACGGAACGATTCGCGAGGATCGGCGCCATCGAGGGCTGGACGATTTTGATAAATGGCCGGCCACGATTCGAGCAAGATAAAATCGTTTGCCATTGGCAGATAGCCCGCGTGACTCGTAATCGCATCGTTTGAACGCGCGGTTGTATCCGACGGAGGGTGAAACATTTTTCTCGTTTTTTTCTTTTTCGGACTGCAGATAGAAGCGGCCGATTGTCCGCTGTACACCGTCGCGAATTTTTCCCTCGGTTAAAAGTTATTCTTGCAATCGATAATAGAAGACCAGGAGGCTAAATAATTTGAAGTAACAAAGACTCTCGTAACACCGTAGAAAAAAAAAGTCCAAGTAGATATTAAAAATTCCCAAAGAAATCTCGTTTAACACTAGACTGAACTATAAAATTTGTAAGAAAGCAAAGAAATTAAAAAGCGAGGAGTGGAAAGGAGTTTAGAAGAGGTCTTTTTTTTTAAAAAGCATCTGATAGTCTTGGAAAGAAAAAAATGAAAGTCGAAACGCCAAATTCCAAAACGCACAGTGGCGATCGTCGCAGTTGAGCACGGGATAAAAAATCACTTTGAACATCTTCGAACGATCGAAGAAGCCATCGACTTGAGCCTCAACCGATCGTGATAAACTCGAAAGGGAACGGTCCAGTGGTGTCCTGTGAGCAAACGTGGAATCCACCCACGATCATCGGTGGATGGAAGTGACTCGAAAGTACCTGTCGAGTTGGCTCGCCATCGAGCAGTAGGATCGAAACGAGACTGTTAAAAGCGTTTCATTAGCCGGTCGTGCTCGACGGGAGGTCATTGTTCGAGGGATGACCAGTAGCGGAAGACGCGAAAGGAGAACTACTACTGCCACGGGGATCAATATTGGCCGGGGCTGGTATTTGTTTGGGACGAGGCGGATTGCACGCGGACGACACCGGTCCGGAGAGGAGTTCCATCGATTCGAGATGGAACTCTCTCATTAAATCGAAAAAACGTCTTCGTTCCACCGTGAAAGGGCTCCACCGGAATGCTAGATGCTCCGATCTATGTTTCCTTCGGGGAACAGGTGCGTCCAACGAGTTGACTCTCTTTTCTCTGTCCTTTCTCTTTTTCGTTAAGTAGGGGAGCTTGTCTCTGGTGTAAGTCGGCGATTGACGACCCATTTTTTTTTGTTTTTATCACTGAAAGTGATTTTAGCGGGGGTAACTCAGAAAATCGGGCCTCTTCAGGTGCAACGCTGATGCAACGAAAATTAGCGATTGGTTGATTTGGGTCACGTGATTCGCGAGGGGGCGTGGAGTAAGCCTCGAGTAGGAGTGGCGTTGTCTGGTAATAAATACTTTTTTTTAGAAGAAACATAATAAATACCTTTTTTAGCTTGGAACTAAATTATGAAAATTATATCTACGGTTGGAAAGGGCTGTTTTTGATATTTAGCTTCGAATCGACAAATAGAAAAACGGTGGTTTGGTCAACGAATATTTTGATAGTAAATAGTTTAAAGTCTAAATTGAGCTACTTTAGTTTGGTACTATTTTTGTTTGCTCCATGTCCGATTTTGACAGTCGATGATATACGAATTTAGAAGTTCTATCTCTTTTTAGAGCTTTTCGACAGTTAATAAAACGATAAACAGGGCAGTTAGATGACGAGTAAAATTTGAAAACTGGACGTCATTCGTACGAAATGCGAATGAAAATTGGCATTTCCTTGGTTCTTCTTCTTCTTTTTAAACATAAACATGGAGATTAAAACATCGGTCGCTGGAAGAAACGCCGCGTAAATCGAATTTGTTATTCCGCTCTGCGACGTTAAGCGAATGCAAAATTATTTAAATCAAAACGAAATCGATCTACAGGGCCCGGTCGCGATTTCCGCCTAAATTGTTTTTCGTTGTAATTAAAGGAACACCGCGATGAAAACTAGCGCGCTCCTCGTAGAAATACGGCAATAAATATTTAACAGCGACGATCCCTCCCCCCCCGTGTATTAATAATCCGAGGTCACGCCAACAGATTTCGAGATATATCCGCGGAAATCTGTCTCCGTGTCTGCGACGTAAATAGCAGAAAAATCGGCCGACAAGTAATCAAAATTAATGGTGTCCGTAAACCCCCATTCTGGGCACGTTACGTGAGGCTTTTTGAAAACTTAGAGAGCCTCATGCGCGAGGTATGAACGCAGGATCCTACTTTACTGGACCTACTCGTGGAGTCGATGGAACAAGACAGAAAAGTGGCCGTGAAAATGCAAGAAGTTGACGATGGTAGTTAGTCGATAAAGTTTGAGAAACCATCTGTGCGTGCATAAAATTGAATTTTACCGGAAGGATTCACATTTAGTTTTCTGTGATGCATTTCCTTTCGTCTGTGCATTCTGGTGGGACGTAGAAATATTTTCTTAGAGGTGTTTAATTGAAACATCGAAGTTTGAAATAGTTTGACGTACGAATTAAATGAAATTCGATGTGATCAAAAAAATGTGATCAAACTTAATAAAGATAATTTTTATACTTATTCTTATATTTACACTGCAAAATGTCATATTTTTCACTATGGCGATCGTGCATCTATGATCCACGAAAAGTGAAAGTATTCGAAATACCGAATATTAAAATACCGCGAGGTTCAACAAAGTACAAAAAGAAAAAATGAAAG